CGCTACAACACGCTGCGCTTGGTCCTCTCTTTGGTTGCGTTTCACGGGTGGAAGATCCGGCAAATGGACGTCAAGACAGCGTTCTTGAATGGACTCATGGACGAAGACGCCGAAATCTACATGCTGCAACCGCCCAACTTTGCAGTGCCTGCGTCCAAAAGTCTCATGTGCAAGCTGCTCAATGCGATTTATGGACTCAAGCAAGCCCCAAGATGCTGGTACCTTACCCTGCACAACTTCCTCGTGGAGATCGGTTTCGAGCGTTGCGCAAGGAAGCATGCCTCTACATCAAAAGTGTGGGAGAATCCATGGTGCTTTTGACCGTCTATGTTGACGACATCACTCTCACCGGCAACAGCAACGAAAATATCGAGAAGACGTGCGACGACATCAAGAGGCGCTTCGAGATGACCGACCTCGGCGAGCTCAAGTCCATCCTTGGAATCCAAGTTGAAGTCAAGTCCAAGGCGGTGACAATGTCCCAGCAAGGCTACATCGACGTACTCTTGGACAAGTACAAGATGGTCGAAAGCAACCCCGTGTCCACCCCGGAAGTCGTCGGCCATGTGCTCAAGCCAAGCAAGTTGACGCCAAGTGAAGTGAAGAAACTCGACCTCCCGTACCGCGAACTGGTCGGAAGCTCGTAGTACTACGTGCACCCGGCCGGACATCGCCAACGCCGTGCGAAATCTCTCCAAGTACCTGTCGTGCTTCGAATAGAGCCACTGGAAGCAAGCCAAGCGGGTGTTGCATTACCTCAAGGGCACCAAGTCTCTTTGCCTCAAGATCGACTGCTCAGGCAAGTGGGAGCGTTCCAAATTGAAGCCTTCTGCGACGCCGACTTTGCAAACAGTGAAGACCGAAGATCGATCAGCTGCTTTCTCGTCATGTTCCTTGGCGCTAGTTTGTCGGCAAGGTCAAGGAAGCAATCGATGGTCACGCTCTCGACCGCCGAGGCCGAGTACATTGCACTCGGCGACTTGGTCAAAGAGTTGCTTTGGTACATCGAACTGCTTGAAGAACAGGGTTTTCGCCAAGAGCGAGTTGTTGTCCACTGCGACAATCAAAATGCCATCGCCATCGCGAAGAACCCCGGCCACCACGAGCGCACCAAGCATATCAGCACCAAGTATCACTTTGTGCGCGATCAAGTGGAGAAGGGTCGTATCCAACTTCAGTACTGCCCGACGAAATTGATGGTGGCCGACATCCTCACAAAGGCCATTCCGCGAGAGCAATTCGAGATCCTGCGCTCTAAGTTAGGGCTCGCAGATGGACCCACGAATTGAGTGGGAGTATGAGAAGTACAATTCGAGTAGTGTTATTAAATGTGACAGGTATTATTTGAGTGTTGACATGTAGGATCATCAGATCCTACATGTGCCATGCATAAGTGCATGGCACTTATCCAAAATCCTGCAAATGTCAACGATATATATTTTGACTGTATCATGAACACTGCTATAGGTGCCGAAAGCAGTTACAGGCAACCTTTGCAGAGGCGACATGATATATCAGTCTTGGTTCATGTATGCATGGATACACATTCCTCAGGGTCACTATCATGACAACCTTTAGGATTGCTCAAAGTGCTTTCAAGTATGAACCACGATATGGTAGTGAATGTGCCGAGCATCTAAGTGAACACAATTGAATTTTACGTTCATCCTTCAAGTCTTTTCAAAGCATTCCCTCTCCAAGTCTCTAAGATTCGATGATGCTGCCAAACCAGGAACAGTCAGCGAATCAGAACCCGACTGCCGGTTGTCGGTACATATTGCACATCAAGAGACGGCGAAGAGACGCGAAGCTGCTCAAAGGGATATGAGGACATGGAGATGCAGAGAACAAAGCAGACTAGCTTCCGTTAACACAATTCACTTTTCGTTTTGCCTTCTTGGACTTAAGTCGCTAGCACACACTTGCCGCTGCATTCCTCGCTATCATCTACACAGAAATTCAACATTCGTTCAAGACTGACCATCCCCGAAGAAACTACTCAAAGAGGAGAGTTAGGTGTACCCATCATTGCCCTCGAACTCCAATGAATTGGGCTTGGTTTGGCGTGCCCCGGCCGCACTGTATCATGTAGCTGATGGCTCGGGAAGACTGGATGCAAGTATTTGCGCAACCCAGCCATATAGGATTGTTGGAGAGGCCGAATGAGGTTGGGTCACACAGTCCCCTTCAGCGCAGTCTGGCAACACCTCCGAACTTGTCGGACAAAGTAACCTGCGTTCGAGTCACTGTACTATTCAACTTGCACAAGGCTACCGCGTCACCCGACGCGCATACAATTTTACAAGACGCATCGAAACCACTTGATAGGCTTGCGATGGTCGCCCCACCACCCATCTCCGTTGCGGAACGACGCGTCGAAATGATTCACGGAGGCCTTGTAGTTGGTACTGGTTGTAGAGGTTCCAAACTCACCAACGCCAACGCTGCACGAGTTGAAGTCGACGACGCCGTCATTGACAGTGTCGTGCTCTGACAAGTACGACACTAACTGGAGGACTGAACCGGTCGTGACCAACCCAAAGGCACTCTCACCGCATAGCATTTTCTTGTTGGGGTGGTTGGCGCGAGCAGATTGAGCAGACAGGTACTGGTTGCGCAAGGTAGCATCTACGGTGCTTTGGTGCTTCAGCTGGGCGTATGCTCGATCAACAGGACATTGCCCCACCAAGTCCAAAAAGATCCCACTAAGCGCATCGTCATCACTCTTCCCATAAGTGCACTTTTGTTCAAGCAGATTCGACGTCTTGCTGCCTTGCAACGACCCCGCCAAGGACACCCACGTCACTCCGTTTGAAAAACTTGCAACGTCCAGTCGACAGCGCACCACCCGTGATGAGATTGCCCATGGAATGCGTGACCAGAATCAGTTCGCCCACGGTGTTGCCGGTGCTGTTGGTGGCATACTTCAGAGCGTATCGACATAACTCGTCTTGGATATCGCCGTCGGTCCATCCACGCTTGATGGTCTCCATTT